CAAAATATATTTGGCCTAAAGCAGTAACAGCAACAACAACAATATATGTCTCAACTTGTATGTATGTGAAAATTCATTCTTGGTACAAAACATATTAAATGTCCAGTGTGTAATATTTAGGAGGATCTATTAGGCAGAAATGGAATATAATATTCATAGGTATGTTTCATTAGTGTATAATCACCTAATAAGAATCATGTTTTTGTTACTTTAGAATGAGCTATTTTATATATAGAGTGAGCAGGCCCGTTTCCACAGAGGTCGCCATGTTGAACCGCCATGTTTCTACAGTAGCCCAGAACAAATGAACCCCCACATTGCCTCTAGATATGGACGTTTTGCGTTTGTCGCGGGTTTTGCGGCCACCACAGTTTCTCCTACAAGCTTGGAAGGTGAGTGTTATTCAGTTAATTGCAATCTGACTAGATGTCCCCAAAATCCTACACACTGGTCCTTTAACTCCAGGTCTCTTTACTTTCTTTCTCGATGACAACTTTTTTTTTGCTGAATAGGGAGGAGAAGGTAAAGAATGAGATTTGTAGGATACTATATAATAATAATTAAACAATTGGGAAATACACTAAGTTGTTTTCTTCCCCAAGATTCAGATATAAAATCAATGTCACTCTCATGTCTGTGTGTTAATTATGGAGCTAGGACTGGGAGGTGATAAGCTTAGCTTAGCATAAAGCATGGAAGTAGAATAAAACAGCTAAACTGTCTATCTCCGAAGTTCTCCAAAACTCCTCATCATATAAGAGTAAGGACTATAAATAAATTCTGCATCCAAACCAACCATAATGACATTTGCAGGTATGTTTGCTGAGTAAAGCTAAATAATTAGCAGCTGACTAACTGTAGATGTTTGTTTGGTCATTCAGCAACCCAAGGTACTGGACAAGACATACATTTTTGGTAGGTTTGTTAAGAAGCTAAATTGAGGCGTGAGAAAACAGACAAAATGCCACATTGATTTTCAAAGGAGCTCAGCTATGTCGAGGAAACGCCGGGTGGAATAAAATTATATCTTTTTGATTTCCCTTTCCTCTGGGGTCCTCTTGAAATGAATTAAGAAGACTTTGCTATCATCTGCCACAGCTAGCGTTCACTGACTCATTCTATAACATGTCCTTAGCCTCACACTTGTGCTGGCCTCAGCCCTGTTTGAAGTCAGCAGTGAGGGAAGCACTCTAGCTGCTATAGAACCTGCTCTAAAGCATCTGGGTTACCTGTTGCCTAGCAACCATGCTAATTAAATCAGTCTTTGCTTCCAGTTATTACGAATAATGGCTACCATAAAAAATCAAGTTGTTAAAAACTCTTTCATGCTGCATCTATTTGTAAGTCCTATAAGTGGACTTGTTGATAATGAATGTATCCATGGCGCCGATAATGGCTCTGTCAACCGTTTGGTGATTGATTTCCTCTAATTAAAATAAGCTTTGCATAATAAGAGGGAGCATATTAAATTATACTTATTATTGTGGATTTGAATGAACCAATCACATGTAGTGCTGCACTGTTGTTTTCTATGATTCACTGTTAACTTACAGCCTGCAGCAGCTGTGGCTGGTAGCAACATTTCAATTTGTTTTAATAAATATAAACAAGATTGTGTGATATGCCCTAAAGCTGTAGGATGCACAAATATAGTTTTATCTGTAAAATAACTGAAGATTGGGTGCATGGTCTAAAATGTCACTTTTAGCATGGGTTCAAGAAGGAAGGCAATTATTATTCAAATGTTCTCATCACACTGGGGCTCTGCCTCCCTATTACTATGTAATTGAAGTCTCTAGGTTATGTTCACAGGCTCCTCTGGCAGCCGAGCTCAATAGCTGATTGGTAGTTAAAGGGTTGGGTCGCAGTCTTTGCTGTGAACATTTTTCTATCGGAACAACTGTCTACCAAAATAGAATCCCTATAAATACTAATTTACAAGCAACCTCCGGTGGCCTTGAAAGTAATGATGAAAGCAGGAGTAGTATGCCATTGTTGTATCATGTCCGCAACCAAGTAGTTCTAGTTGTTAAAAATTAACCAAATCTTAATCATAATTTCCCCAGCAGTCATATTCTAAATCATATTTTGGAAGGCACTGACAAAAAATGTAGTCATGATGAGATAATGTTTATATGGTTCATTTTAAATTGAGTGAGAACCAGATACAAAGTTCTCCTTTCACCTCCATTGTATTGGAGAAGATGCAGAAACATACATACAAACATAAATCTCAAATCTGGACAAATAAAACTGAAACCATCTGCGTGGCTGGATACTATTAGAGGAAAGTGATATTTATTCTTGTAAATTGGGTGAACTGACCCTTTAAATCAGCTTACCTGTTGTGTCTCTTTGTGGTCTTTACAGTATGTGCCCTTCCTCTACTCCAGCACACTGCCACCTGACCCCATAGGGTGACCTGAATCTTACACATGTTAATATTTAAAACTTTACTGTGTCTGTACTGACTGAACTGCTCTGTTCGGGAGAAGAATAATGGACTTAACTATGTTTTGAACTTGATGGAATTTAAGTTTAAATTGAATTTGTCACTGTAAATTGATTAAACATGAGGAGAAGGCCGTCACAAAACCGGACATGAACTGTCTTTTCTAATTCAAATAAGAATTAAGTCATTCCAGTTCAAATACATACTGGGTGGATTTGCACGACACTTTAGCACGAAAAATTAATTAGGAACAAATTCAGTGTGATGCACTTCCACAACTTAGTCTGAAATGGCCTTGAAAAGGGAATATTTGAATATGAAATGGCTCTTATTTAATGTAGCAGCTCAAAGAAGTTAAAACAGTGTTTTCATTGAATACATTAACTGCCCTATAAAGATGTTTTTGTGCATTAAGTCCTATTATTATTTCTGATCACGGAACAATTTGTGCATGTCCATGAGGCTTCTATTCCTTGACAACACCACTGAAGTGTCTGCACCAGCAATACAATACCATTTTCCATAGCGGACTATCCATGAAGATCAAGACTGTGGGGAAAAAACAACAGTGACGATACCACTGACCACATGAATAATACCACTGACGACAATGCCTGCTTAGATTACAATAAACCAAAGCTGATAACAAACAGAGACTTTGTTCTCCTGGTTCTGTTACTCAAAAGCTCCTCATGTGCTCCTTCTTACACAGCCTGCAAAGAAGATTACTGGACTCTACTTTTATGTACTTTCACAGTCTGGATTGCAGGTGCTATAATTTGCTATAATTTAAAATGTTGCAACAAAGAATCCTTCTGCTATTTGTACGAACGAATTAGATGACGACAGACTGTTAATATAAAGCTAATAAAAGATTATTTTAGACAACCTGAACTTGGAGTTCTAACATTCTGCTGGATGTCCAAGCGCAGTGGTTATGCTGCTGACAGAATACATAAGAGCTTTTGCGTAGGCAGTAAGCCTCTGATCTCTTATTAATATGTCTAGACGTTCACTACCCCATCAGTCACAAACACAAAGTCCTTGAAAAACAGTCAAAAACCACTGCCTTCTCTGAAAAGTCACTGGAGGAAGAAAAAAAAACCTACTGGAGTTTGATGTATAGTGGTTATGTAAGGAGACTCATTTACAGTTGGTGCATTATATGTTAACATGTACAATGGAAAACATAATGTAAATTTTCTCCAATGTCTTTGGAAGATGAAAGTATATTTAAACAATAATTACTTTGAGAAAACAATATCACCACAAGGTTCATTCAGTAACTGTTCTGGAGGTTCAAATCGTACTTCTTTATCTTTTTATATCTTATCATCCTAAATTTGAACAGTTGTCATGTAACTGGAAATTTTCAAATGTCTTTTTTTCTGAGCGCTGACTTCTCGTACACGCTGGGTGGGCGCATCAGCTATTACTTTTTTCACAAAACACAACCAGTAACATTAAAGTAATCTGATTTGATTGAATGAACAAGATTCTAATTGGTGAACAGAATTACATGACATCACGTTTTCCAACTGAGCCCCGCCCACTTCAAGCCAGTGAGAAAAACAACAAAAACACAAATATAAAAATCTCTCATGTGAAATAACCAAAACTGTTCTAAACTTGGCACAAAAGTTTGTGTTCATGTAGGATCCAATCAGTCATAGTAAGAACCAGATTGAGAAAATAAATTTAAGGGCCTTTAACACTAGAAATGTCAAGTCTCTCTGAACTGAGGGATGTTTTAAATTTTAACCTTTAAGAATTGCAACTATTAAAATGTGTGTATTTTACTTGCGTAAATCTGTGTTACTGCATATATTAATATTACTGCACTGCATCTCTGTTGTCAAGCTCTTAATGGCTACAGGAGTAAAAGATTGTTGTTTAAGTAAGCCATGAATCAAATCAGTTGGAACACATGAGCCAAGGCTAGTCTTCTTAAACACTCACGCCAGAGAAATTAATACTGTGATGCTTTGGAATAACCAAAAGAATTTTGGGCTCAATATTCATTCTGTGCTGTATGTCTACCATAGCAGCCACTGTATTCTGCAATAACTGCCCTCATACAGTCATTACCAAAGCAGAATAAACACATTACTCATCTCTTTCCCACTTTCAAATAGTAGCAATGGATACTGTTTCCAGTCAGGCGTGAGTGCACAATCTTGCCTGATAACAGCATAGGTGGGATGCAGCATAGATTCAGGTTCTATGTGGACATAGCAGGGGATTGTGGGTAGCCCCCAAAGGGAGTTACGGCTTGACAAATATTTGAACTGCAGCCCAGCTCTGTTTACCTCAGCTAAAGCCTCAGGTTGAGGTTTCTACTATTGAATTATGCATCACAAAGAAGAGTCAGAAGTTTAAAGCTTCTGATGATATTAAAATGTTTTTTCACTCTTATTTGCTTTATTTTACAATCATTTACATGAGCAATTGATTTTCAGGAAACCTGGGAGAAATCAATAAAATTGATCTATGGGGGACTAAAAGATCCCCGACCTAGATGATTTGTGTTTCAGAAAACAAGTCTAAACACACTCACAAACTTTAAATTTAATCTTTTTACAACATGTCATTGCATACTGTACAGCTGCATTTAGCCTCTTATCAAATTCACTTACATTTAAAGTACAAATGACAACAACATCTACCACATTAGAAGAAATGTGAATATTCCAAAAGGCCAGCAAAGGGCAAGTTAATCCCAAATATTGAAGTAAAACTTCTCAAACATGGTTACAAAAAACAGTACCGCAAAGGGTTAAGTAAAGGAACTGACACTGAGATGTGTTCATTTACAGAGTGCAATCACAGCATAACCATTTTACAAAATGTTTTGTGAGCAGGTTCAATATCCTTGCTTGATTATTTGTTATGGAACTATATTATTCCGTATCAGTGCATCTCTCAGGATAATTGGATTTGTACAGTGTGTTCATTTACCTACAGATGCCAGCTCTAATGAAAAAAGGGAGATTCAAAAAGGTATCTGCCCTCTGAATCATGTAGCCATTGTAGGAGTCCTTAATCACAGAATTCTTAGTGCAGTTGGACTGAGCTGGCATATTTCTCACAGCATTGTAAATATTTGATATTAAATTGATTTTTGTCCAATAAGAAAGCTGCAGGCCTCAGGTGTCTCACTTTTGTGCAGTAAAGTGGAAAACCTGGACACTGGAGCTACTACTGCATCTGAGGAAAAAACGAGGGGAAAAAAGGTGAAACGGTTTAAATGAACCAAAAAACCATTTCACTGAGCAGCTTGACACATCAATATCCTGCCAAGGCCTGGTCAACCCAAGAGACCGACCCTGTAAATTAACTGTGACCAGTGTTGCCGATCTGTGGCCAGCAGGAATAGTTCATGGGTCCACAGTGGGGATGGTGCTGACCTTGTTGTTCCTGCTGATTCTCCGTTCAGGCCGTGGCCTGGGCAGTTTGGTCTGGATCAGCTCCTCAGGTGTGTTACCCAGCGGAGGCAGCAGCCTCTTCTTGCTGTTCCTGGTCTCTGGTAACCACTGAGGTGGCAGTTCAAAGGGTCCAAAACCAAACTGTGTGGAGTCCTCAGCTTCTGTAGGTGTTGCTGGTGCCACCTGAGATGAAGAGGCATAAGCACATGGGTGGACCGGAGAGGCCCGGGGTGCTATGACTGAAGGAGGGCCATCCTTGGTGATGACCAACCCTCCCCCTGTCCCCTGCAGAGGGTCCTTTTTGGTGATCACCTCCCCTCTGAGGCTCCCCAGTCTTGACCCACCCTTGTGGTCCTCTTTAGACCCTCCTCCTGATCCTTGAGAAGGGATCTCATTCTCTACATCCTCTTCTTCCTCCTCTTCCTCAGAAGGCCTAAAGATCTGCTGCTGGCCAATATTAAACATCTCCAGAAGCTGGCTCCCAGAGCGGCCGGCTGTCTCCAGTCCCACCGGCTCCCCGATCACACCCTCTGCCCCTAAAGACGCCAGACCCCCGGTGCTGACGACGTTACGGCGGCTGTAACGTCTGTGAATCCTGGCTAGCAGGTCCAACCAGCTATGACGAGCTGAGCGGTTAACAGTTAGAAACAAAAGTGGGTTGGTGAGCAGGGACACCTTTGGTAGCCAGAGGGCTGTCAGATACAGTAAGATGGGTAGCTCTTTACTGTCTGCCAAAATGGTGCGATAAACCACCAAGGCCCCATAGGGGGCACTGCAGGCTGAGAAAGCTAACACCACAGCCAGCAGCGTGGCATGTAGCTCAGCCTCTCTCTGGGACACATACGGGATGGAGATGCTGTTCTGGGGAGTCCTCAAGGCTGCAATTATCACCTTCTTCTTCTGGCTGGCACTGAGCGCTCTGCGGATCAGAAGCATGAAGAGGAAGACCAGAGCGAGAGGGAGGATCACCGTGGTGATGTTGTAGATCAGCACGTACACCATGTGGCCCAGGGAGCGGGCGTGGTCATCTGAGCAGGATGAGGTGACGTATACATCTGTCACATTGGTCACAGCAAACACAGGGAGGCTTGCCACCGTTGCATGGACCCAGATATAGATGACCAGATCTCGGGATCTTGCATCCGAGATCTTCCTCTCCAACGGGTACAGCACGGAGTAGTATCTAAACACACATAAAAAAAAAATTTTCAGCATAAAAACTTACATGTTGGCCATTTTTACATAAGAAATGTTGACATGTCACAGTAGAAGAAGCCCAGGTGTAAAAATATGTCTGAATTAAATTTAGCTGCTGCATTTTCAGGGTGCTGGTTTTGTTCATGTTGGCTCAGTGTCACACTGTCATGGTTTGCTAGGATACTTGGATAGAACTGAACCATCGTTAATGTAACAACTGTGCCTTTCTCTCTATGATAAGCCAAAATGTCTCCTGTTCATTGGCTGACTAGAGTGTTTCCTGAATGTCGTCATGCTGATACACCTTGAAAATCTCTCTTAAGATGATTTACATAAACATACAAATAACATCCGTAAGCCGAAGTATCTAATTCTGAAAATACATTTCCACTATTTTTAGTGATTGTATGATTACCGTAATCAAGTGAATTAAGTAAAGCTAAAATTATGACCATCTCACCGAGGTGGAGCTTCAAGTGGTTGTCCTGGAAAGACAGTACAACACACCCATTGATGCATCTATTATATAAGCTGAAATACAGACATAATGGAAAAAGTGCAGGTGTTTTTAGTAATAATATTGTCTTTGTCGACTGAATCCGGCCTCTGATATAATGCTACAACCCAAAAAATGACTGCACCATAAAATCCTGAAAGCTGGTTAAAAATATGGGCGAAAAGAGAAAATGTGCTTATTTAAAACTCATAATTTTATTGGAATGGGATGAAAGGATTTTTTCTCCATTTATCTGTGTTGTACTACCTTACGCAGAAGTTGAAATTTTGTGTGGGTGTTTTTTAATGCACACCCACTAACACATAACTAGATCTCCTCATATCTGTATCACAGATAATAGTATGTAGATTGTCTCTCATCCTATTGTTGTCCCTTAATAATAAGCAAAACAAATCGCATGAAGGACTTGCTTTATTTCCCTGGATTGTCTCTTCATCACCACATGCAAGTGTACGAGTGTGTGTGTGCATGGACCTATAACTGCTGCAGTTTCAGCCTGCCTGTATATTCACAGCCTCAATTTCCCTCCTTGAAAATAAATAATTCATCGCTTTGATAGCATTCTGACTGTATTAGTTGCTATGGAGGCAATATAATCTTTGTAGCAGTGAAACCAAGGCTGAGATGAGGCTGCAACAACACAGGATCTGAATGCAATCATCATAAAAAATAAATGAAACCCAAACATACATTTCCTATACTGTATTCAGTGTAGTTATGCTGTCAAGGTTTTGAAATTTTGGAGAATGAGGCTTAACAGTATAGCAATGTCAATCACCTTTAGGTAGCTAAACTGCAGCAATCCGATATTCATTTACCTGACATACCCTGACATTCTTACCCTCACCCTAACCAATCCCACTCCTCATGCTTTAACCCAACCAACCCAACCAACAAAGGCACTGAATACTAGCCAATCGGAGGACATTTAATCATTTTAATCCCCATTTAAGTTAGCCTAGGGCTAAACCGGAAGTTAGAGATGTGCTTGGCTGGCTAGTGTCTTGTGCACTTGCTCTATGGCCCCACAAAGCAGAAGCATATGCAGAAGATGCAGGTAATTTTATACAAGGAAAACAAACTTCTTTGGCTTCATGCACCACTGAACAGCATGAGGCGGGGCAAGGAAGCCGTCATCCTCTATACTCCTGGGTGGCGAGTTGTGCATTTGAGTCAGATCTTCTTAGTCTGCTCGTAACAAATGCTGCATCCATTTCTTCCTTAATACAGCCATGGTAGTCGCCATATAAAGCGGTGATGTTGCAAACTGTAAATATTTGAATATAACTCAGCCTAAGAGAAGCTACAGTGCCGGCAAAACTTGCTAAAAGCCAGTGTTTGGTTCGACCATTCTGGGCTACTGTAGAAATATGGCGGCCTCCGTGGAAGAGGACCCGCTCCCTATGTAGATAAAAACAGCTCAATTCAAGGTAACATAAACACAATGATTCTTATTTTAAGGTGATTATACAAAAAATAATATAGTGTTACACTCATATTACTAATTAACATACCTATGAATATATTCCATTTCTGCCAATAGATCTTCCTAAATGTTACACACTGGACCTTTAAGAGTGATTGCTTTAATGGTAGTTAATGTTTTTTTTAATTAGACTAGTGGCACAGGAGCAACAGACATGGCAGTAAGTAAGATGCAAAAGCTGTTTAGCTGAGGTAAACATGGCTTCCATCATCAGTAAGGGCACAATCAGTATTACTTTTAAAAAGCAGTGTGTGAGACCATAAGTGGGCAGCAGCAGCCATTTCAGGCTGCTTTTAGCTGCAGCTTTTAGCACTGCAGGGAGGCTGCTCGGCGTGACATACACATGCTCTATCGATCGCAGCCCCCCAACCCCACTCATCGACACCACAGGGTGTAGATGGAGATTGAAAAAGACGTTCTCCAAAATAATCTTCCAGAGTTTAGCCATAGTCTTTGCTCCACTTGTGCAGCGTGGATGTTTGTACTTCCAAGTCTCTATTTTCAGGAAGAGATTTACTCCAGCAGACTCGGCCAAGCAGTGTATTGATAAACTGATCAGAGAATCGATTTGAACCATCCACCTCTCCGAAGTGGTACTTTTACATCCAGTGAGGTGAGTGGGAGGAACCCACTAGCCTTTTTCAAACACACATTTCAAAGTCAGTTGTTCTTACAGCTGAGATGAACAAAAAAAAAAATATATCACTCTCGTCCTACTCAGGGACAGAGTGCTCTTTTGGTTCTGTAAGAGGAGGATTTTAATTTCAACATCAGGCCTCAATTATCTATGACTAAAAAAGGTGTTATCTCTTTCTACTTTAACTGTATAAATTGGTAAGTAGTTTATGTCAAACATGTTTTCTAAACTGACCTGTCGAGTGCGATGGCACTGAAACTGAGCACAGTGACCGAGCAGAAGAGTTTATGGAGGAACTTGATGGCCTTGCAGAGCAGCAGAGTGTGGAGCCACCAGCAGCAGCGAGGGCTGGCTCCGAGTGCAACGTCGAAGGGAACACAGACCAGGCCGGCGCAGATGCCAGAGCACGCCAGGTTCTTTATGAATCGGTTGGTCACAGATTTAAAGACATTCGTACAGCAGGTGCACCACAACACCGTGGCATTTCCTGTGGAGAGGATGAGAGAGGTGCATAGCTTTAGAATAACATGAAACACGCAGTATGTCTTCAGATTTCAAAACGTTAGAAAAATGCAATTTGTTACATCTTTGTGTTCTACTTACATGACATTTAACATTCCACATAAACTCAAAGGTATCCTATCTATTGGACAGACTAAACTGGTAGGATTGCACATAACCGTTAAGACTTTATTGGCAGCAATTACGACTGCTGTTTTCCCTTGCTTTATATTGAGGCTTTCCCGCGAGAGGCTAAGATGTTAATAAAGTAAGCATTTGTTGCTAATTCTTTAGTTTTATGTTCTTCACTTATAACCAACTGTGTGAAAGGACCAAAATCTACATTTTCACCGTTTTTGTATCCTCTCCTTAGCTTGTTTAGGCTTCCTCCTGGCACTCCAAATTCCTTCCACAGCCCGGAAAGAAAATAGTTGGGTCGCCTGGAGACACTAAATTGCGCATTGGTATGAAAGAAGGGTGACCGTCTGTCTAATCTATGTGAGTTAGCACAGATGGATGGATCACTTATCCATCACCATGTCTTCCTGACTTCAAGCACAGAGACTGTGATTAGATAAATTAAGGAATATAAGGATTGCATGGACCAAGGAGTAAGAAGAAAGCTTTAACCATATCTACTGCATTAGTTCCAAGCTCCTCATTTTACAGCTGATTTTACAAAACTGCCTAAATCTAAATTAAGATTTGTGTGCCACACAGCAAGGCAAGATAATGCATGTTCAGTGTGGCTTGACATTCAAACTCAGTAGTATTCAATAGTACAAAAAATCTGGGAAATGTGACATTTGAAAATTATAATTTTCAGGAGCAATTGCTCATTTTTCTCTGCTTGTTGCAAGATGACCTTTTTTATTTTTTTTGAACTGTGGTGATCGGCATCTTCTTGCTGCACAACACAACAAGTTCAGGATCCATGGCCGCATAAAATTTAGATCTCAATCAGTTTGAATAGATTTTCTCCTAGAAAAAAAGGCATGCACCCGTGGCAGGGTACAGAGCTCTTTTAGGTATCACTTCATGGAAAAGCTCTGCTACACCAAATCCCATCTAAATATATTTAAAAAAACATGGATTATTCTTTCTTAAAAATGTTTTTATGCTTGACTATAAATTACTGCAGATAGACATCCTAAGAAGCTCTTTGCAAGGTGAAGAAATCAATTAAACCTAACCTGAGTGAGGCGGCACATGATCAGGTGCAAGCAGTGAAACTGTGGCGTTTTCATGTTAAGATCCCTCCATGATTCGGAGCGATGAGACAGTAATGATTGTTAATTAGATTTTAAAAAAGGTGAACTTTATACTCCCTGTGGAGCACTGACTGATGTCAGGTCACACAGGGATACATTTGATACCAGCCTCTCCAAATGTAATTACCCACAGAGTGTTAGCTGTGCTCTCATCGTCAGAAACAGAGCAAGATGTTCCCTAGTGAGGAAAACTGTTTTAACTTATTTGTGCCTGATGTCTGTAAATGTTCAAAAACAGGCTGCAGTCAATCTGAGACAAACAAACTCTTATCATCAATGCACTGCGCTATAAAAGCAAGGGTAGGTACAAAAATCAATTATTGTGAATTAGGTTGGTGAAATGTGGCCTAAGCGGTTTTAGATGGAGCTGGAAGAGGCTGTTTTGTGAGGGAACATGATGTGCTTTACTGCTAGTTTCTAACTGCAGTATTTCAGTAACACACTGTGTTATAGAGCGGCACACAGGAGTAGTAATTCGGGGAAACCCTAATGTAGCCGTAATTAATGATCAGCCTCTGCATTCTGTGAAGCTGACTCACATGTGGTAATGAAATTAGCACAAATACTCATTGTTTAGGATGCAACATTAGATAAAACAGGATGTTTACAGAAAATATATTCAGATTCCACAGATTCTATTTTGATTATTGTGGCTAATGATATGCTGGGATCTCAGGCAATAGCCTTTCAGATGGGTGAGATGGATTATTTTTTAGGAGAAGAATAGGAGCGATGAGAAGTAACAGGAATTGACAGTTCACTTTCAAAACTGTTACAAATGACAGAATTACAGAGAGAAAGTACTTGGATAAGGAAAGACCTTCTGATCTTCTGTGTCAAATATGCCTTCCATCCACCCTGACATTCTTTCAGGTTTTCTGGTGTTATAACAACATCAACTCCCTTTCTTTCTCTTTTTCTCTTTTCTTTTGTCCCTTATTGTTATATATATATATATATATATATATATATATATATATATATATATATATATATATATTTCTATATTCATAGGTATTTAGATTTAGTAGTAGTGTGCAAGTGTGTAAAGTGTGTAAAGTATTGCCATATGTTGTCTTAAACAGCTATATATTGTATTTATCCATTTACTATCTTATATGACTACACCTGTATATCCAGTTACAATTGTCTTCTTCTAAGTGTATGTCTGTTTGAAAATGTTTCTAAAAAATACAAATAAAAATAAAAATAAAAATAACAACATCATGCCATTTCTATTGTTGTGGTTAGAGCAAGGCGATTAAAATGCTGTTAAGTTAAGGCTAGGAAAAAATTGAGTATATAGTTCCTAAACAAGAGTCTACAGTCACACTAGCGGCTCTGTGAAGCTGTGCTTATGCACAATGGAGGTAAAATGCTAACATGGTCTCAATGAGAATGGTAACATGCTGATACAAAGCAAGGTTAGCGATTACCATCTTAGTTTAATTAGCACCAAATTCAAAGTAATGATGTACTGATGATGAAAATGAAAAAGAAGAAACAAAAGGTATAGAAGAGAGACAGGAAAGATGGTAAGGACAAAGGAGCAGTCGGGCAGAGAAGAAAAGACCTTAAATTGTACAGAGTTAAGTATTATGAGGAAACGTCAGTCTTAATCAACATACAATATGAGACACAGAAAATGTACAGCATACTGGATTTGTTGTTGTTCCGTGTTTGCATATCACTGGAGGTAATATTAGTTAGAGGATGGCTCTTGACAGGGGCTGTGTGAAAGTCTCACTTTAGTACAGCTGCAGTGGTGCGATGTCACGCCCTCCCAGTGGTTGCAATACAAGTGATATATGTGGGATCACACGTTCAATACAATATTTTACATTAGAAAAACATGTTTTGTTACCCCAATTTTAAAGAAATTTCCAAGTAAGTTTTTGTTTGAGGAATTTCATTACATACTATATATGCATTTTGGTAGACATTATGAATGCTTTGCATAACTGTAACTAACAAAAAAAAATGTGTCCTTGCAACACTGGGACTTTGGGAGCTTGTATTGTCTGTAAAATCACGTCGTCCTTTTGTGCCTGAAATACTGACCTGACACTTGAGGAACACCTTGGAAACCATGCTCACAGCAGCCAATGGGGAGAAAGAGCAAACACTATACATGATTGCTTTTTCCACTTAACAAATGGCAGTTCAACTACAGGTAGCAAAATGAAAAACCCCAATACATAAAAAAAAAACTCTTTGTGTTTTCTGCATCACACACATGAAAGTAACTCATCTCTGGATTGGTGTTAAAAAGCTGCTGTCATCAGAAATAAGACTCATCCAGGTGCCTAAACATAGAAACGTGCTGTTAAAACTCAAAGTGTGAAACATCATTAGCACGCTTAACACCTTCTTACTTGCATCCCTGTGGTTTTATAATTATACAGTTTCAATGAAAGACTTATTTATGAATGGTAACCAACAGAGGAATAGAGATATAGTCCACGTGCTGTAATTCCTCACGCACGTGATTACAATAAGTCATATTAGCTGGTGCCATGCACACTGTGGCAAATTAATCAGATTTAGAGTCAAACTCTGATCTGTGCTCTATCACAAAAAATTGAGAATCATCTGTGCCACTTAATAGGAATAATATGAATTTAAAAGAATAGTTCAGCATTTTAGGAAATAGACATTTGCTTCCTTTCTGGGGGTTATATGAGAACAGTTCATTCACTCTCATTAATTAGCCTATAGAGCAGTCTGTTAGCCTAGCTTAGCATAAAGACTGGAGGCTGGGGGTAACGGCTATGGCTCTCTCAAAATTTCAAAAATCCCTCTTAACACCTCTAAGCTTACTTCTGTTTATTCTGATTGGTTCATCGATAGAGTTAAAAATTGTGTTAACTACAACACAATAAACTCAAACTTGATTTTAAATTCTAGTATAGATCCCAAATGTTCCCAACATACCAAATATGTCAGGCTACATTTTGGGGAAATGTACTGTAAAAGGGGTAAAAGGGAGAAAGCTTTAGCTCACAATATGAGGTTAACACCAGTGCACATACTAACAACACTGCCAACCATCCACATCAGTGCTACAATTTGAATGAGCACTACTTACTGCAAATTTGAGACCTTTCACGTAAGAGTGCAGTTCATAATAATAATATATCCCATTTTTCTTTTCATCTCTACACATCTGTGTCACATTCAAATAAATCACACAGACAGCATTTGTTTACTTTTTCATGCCCTTGCATTGGGTTTCTTATTTGTGTTAAAGTATTGTATATTATTGACCTAGACATAAGAGCATATATGCGAATCCTGGCTTCATTTATCAAAGGTCTGTCAAAGATTTGAATAGGTCAAACACATTGACGATTTCCACAAAAAAATTGCTGCCATTTCAGTCACCCACAGAGATTTCCTATTGGAGATAGAAAGAAATTAAATCACACCCACATCAGAACAACAAAAGTGCCTTCATGATGGAGCCAACATATCTTGTGCATCCCTGATAGTAAGTGCTGTCTGACAATCAAAAAAGATGAGTCTTGGCTTTTTCACTGTGGGAAAAAAAACCTTTTTAATGTCATGCGAAGCACAACACACAATTTTAAAAATCGAAACCTCAAAGACAGCCCTCTGGACCATTGTCACTTTTATGATTTTTCGTTTCATTCTTTGGGCTATTTATGTACTCGCCATCAGGTTGCGAGTTGCCTGCTGATAAATTGATGTTGCTGTATAGGTGGAAGGAAACAACTGCAGCATCCAATCAGCCTTGCAATGAGTGTTTGAATGGTGTTTTTAATCTTTAATGTATTCAGTGACAGTACTTTTGCTTTCCATAATCAATGGTCACACAGTCTGTGTTGTTGTTTATATTTTCATTTAGCGTCTTTATTGCTGTATTTCTTACTTATTCATATTCATACAAATGCGGTTGTTTGGAAAGCAAAATAGATGTATTATATCTTCTCCAAGCCATGTACAATATACAATAAACAGAGAAGAAAGAAGTATATACTATACTGGCACACATCCATTTTTCACAGCCACTCATGTCATGCTTCCCTGCCACATTGCAACACAGCAGGAGGTGGTATCGAATCAGAGCAATAGTCATTTGGTCATTTTTGTTTTGCCAGTTTTGGTGTCAGTTTCACTGTATTTCATCATGTTGAACTATTTGTGCAAGCTGCACAAAGTCCAGTCTCTCATTGAGTCCATACTTTTCCAAACTGTGAGGAGATGGATATTGGATGTTACAACCACATTTGTGACAAATAACACATTCATATTAGGCAGGAGGACTATGTTTCTGGCTGCAGATAAGATGGAGGGGATGTCAAAGTCCATCAATTCACACGGCTCCTTCCTCACTTCCATCATCATCAGCAGCTTGTGCTTCTACTGGCACAAGCAGGGATATTTGTCACAGAGCCAGTACAGATTCAACTTGAGAGAAGCTCAAAATGTGTACAGTACCTTATTGCTACTAACATTTGCCAATTTTATAGTGAAATAGGAAGCTAACACCTGTCAAGTTTACCACCACAGCCAGTAGCAACATGCAAATGTCTCCATGGAATCCCAACCAAAAAATTCATTTTAAAAAAAGAAGGCACCAGATACACATTATAAACACTGCCCCGTGTGTGTTGTTGTGTTTGATTTATTAACATATTAATGTAATGCTGTTTAACATCCAATAATCAAGTGAACTTCAACATATGAAGGCAGAACACACACTCACAGGCACACACGGGCAACAAGATGACTTGGTCTCCAGTTATGTTTACCATACAGCACCCAATTTAGCCCACAGTGCATCCCTATGGGGCAGCTGGAGCGCTGTCGTGCTGCTAACAGGACATTTTAAAATAACGAAAGAACTGGTGTTTGTCTTGACTTCCCTGTAATTCAAAATAACAGAAGAATGTGGAGTTGATTATAATGAACATATGGAGGATGTGTACAGTGGGTCTGACTAGGTACAGCCTGAACAAAGGGAGTGTTATGACCTGTCATGTAAAAATGAACACACCATGCCCTGCATCATCATCATATAGGAAGACATCACATGGAGTAAAGTCTGCATGTATAGAGTTTGGAGAGGAGGCATTACATAAACTATAGGTAGGATGTGGCTGAATGAGATTGTTTGCAGTTGGCACTGACCAGTGGTTTGGATGGGGGAAGCCAGCAAATTTAATGTAAAAGTACATCAGATTTGCTTTTATGGTTTTTTTTATTACATATATATATTCACAGCTTTATGTTCTTTAAAACTGACTGCTTTTGCTGTGTTTTTAGAGAAGCAGTCATTCATATATTCACATATAGCCGTCAGTGTGTTTTTTAGATGGAAAACCCACAGACGTTGGGCAATAAAAATGAGGAAGATTACCTAATCCAATTCTCCTTTTCAGGTACAGAAGACACAATATTGGGTGTTTTAGGAATTGATGATTAGGTTGCTGTTTTGTTGCATGTTTCTCTGATATTTTAATATTTCTGGCGTAAAGGGTGTCCCCATAGGAACGTCCCCTTGACCCAGATTTAGGAATCAAACTGTTGAGACTCATGGAAAACATAAAGCTAGTGAATGCCTTAATCACACTAAATCATTTTTTAAAAATGTTTTTATGTTTTGCCTCGTCTGCAAGATTATCATGTGTGCACAATATGTCCATTTCTATGAATCGACTCACCGAGCAGCGAACTTATGAGGATGAAAACCTGAATGGTGGTGGTGAAGTCTCGGTAGGCTTGCTCTCGGAGGAGGCGCTGCTGCTCTTCCAGCCCGGTCCCCTCGGCAGGTGACCCGCTGCCCCACCGGGTCGGCGGGCTCGACGCGTTCAGGAGATCCAGCCTGAGGTGGGCTGCTGTGAAATTGGCTGCACCGTCCCCGACCGTCGCAGCCGGGCTCCCACTATCCATGTCGGCTCACCCCGCGATCCTGATGTGTTTTTGGATTTTTTTAAGAAGGCTGGCGGGATGTCAGCAGCCAGCACCTGAAGAGGCATTTCTTGTGGGGATGATGTCTTGCAAAAAAAAAAAAAAAAAAAAGAGGAAAAAAATCTACACAATTGTGTGCAGGAGAGATGTCAGTGGAGATGTAAGACAGCAATGCGAGCAGCTGCCAGCAAAGAGATGATCTTTTGTCAGTGGATATGTTAAATTAGGAAAAAACATGGTGTAATAATCATACATCAGAGCACAGGGAAATGACCAGCCTAGGCTGCATGCCCCATCATTTCCCAATGCGGATGCATGGAAGAAATCAGTCTAACAATCCGTGCGCAGTGAGGCTGGATGGATGCTACTCTCTGACACCCAGCGCACCTAAAACCACACCGGGTTGCGAAGTGTCCATTCTGGGAATGAAGCTTGCAGCACCGAGAACACACTACCATCACCTCTCGCCGTCCGGAAAAAAAATATTGTGTCTGTCGGGCTGTTACTCCTGCTGCCGCTGCCAATCGCACTGTCAGAGGCTGTTTATTGGTAGACTGACTGGTGTGGGGAGCCTGCAACTGAATATTTCACAGCGTGAGGTGCAAGACTGGAGAGGAGAGCCCCTCCTCTTCTTATAGCACCAAGAAACTCCACTGAATCTTATGAATGACAAGCAGGGGAGGAGGGAAGTGTGGGAAAATTTGGCTCATCAGTAATAAAGATGTTTCAGTTATAGTGGTCATCACCCAACCTGCTAAATACTTTCAGGAAATATCCAGAGAGCCTGTTGAACTATTTACTTAATTGTATTATAATAAGGCACACTATCAAATGGTGGTTTTCAGACTACATGAGGTTTGCCCTCAACAACAGCCCTGTGGTTGTCTTGCTCAGTCTGTCCTCTCACAGGAGCTTGTGACATTCCTCTTTGGTTTGCTGAAAATACCGGAATAGGAGAGGACATATAGTAACTCAGTAAAACATAATTTACTTTGTTTTAATCATTCATTAATGTGAGTTTATTGCAGTCTCTTTTGTGTAAGCCAGTGTGGATGCACCGGGGACATGTTCATATGGACCCACTGTACAGTAGACAGCTCTGGATCAGTGTGCACAGGAGTAAGAATAAAATAAGTACTTATTTGTTAAACATTTTATAGAAACACTGTAAAATAAATCAATCTGGAACAGGACTGGAAAAAAATAAATAAAATGAAGCGAGAGATTAAAAAGATAGACTTTATTGATCCACAAAAGTAATTCTTACTGTAGTGCCAAATACATATTTCAGGCATTCACATTAAATCAGCACAGTATGCCTGACATTTTAACAGGCTAAGAGGACTGACTCAGCATATTAAAAGTATTTTCCTGCATCGTGAGTTAGAAAGATTTCCTCATAAAGATGGATGTGGTGGAAGAGAGACAATTGTCTTTGTCTTCTACTTCAGAGTCCTTGCTTTGATGCAGGCTACATTGTTAATGAAATCCCTAAGAGAAACACTTACATCATCAAAGTGAATTCACTTCCAATCCACTGTCTTTCAAGTAAAATTCCAAGGTTTTGAACTTTAACATGGGAATAAAACCGTTGGGATTACTGTTATTTAAAATAAAATATACGCTAATATATTTTGTTTCACAATCTTTCATCATGAAAGTTCTCCTCCCAGTCGGCTTCACATTATGTTGTATGTGACAAAACACATCTCACATTTATGTGTAAGGAACATCAAAGAGAATTGTAGGAAGGCTGAGCTTCCTCTAGATGCCAACATTTGTACAAATAGTAGTTATTCTGGGAGACCGCTGGACTGTTTCTGTATTACAATGACACTGATTGCCGTAAGAGCAGGCGCTATTATTACAGGCTGAAACAATAAACTACTACTTTTATTATTAACAATATCTCTCATATCTATTTATATCCTATGGCAAAAATATTTGCAGAATCACGTGTACAACAATCACATTATTGTTCAATGCAATTAAATTCCCTCCACTGTTATGCTGAACACGAGTTAACTCATTTATTGGTTTTTAATTCCAGTCTTCTTGTAATGATCTATTCGCACAGCATTATTTTTAAAAACGGTAACACAACATGATAACATCACACATCAAAGTCAGTAAAATATAATATTGAATTATTATGCAGCCCAACCACAAATAATTAAACTAATCACAATTACTAGGAATTCAGAATAAAACTGCATGTGAGAGAGACAAGGAGTGTTAAACATACAGAGCTCAAGTTATCCCAGATTATCTGTGACTGATTCCAACCAAGCACACATTATGTTACTCATTCTGAGTAGACCCTGACAGATGTATCAGTCCAATATGCTGTTTTTTTCCCCAGTGTATCATATAGAGGATTGTGGTTTTAAATTATTTTAACATGTTAAATAATATTTATCCTAAATATTCCTTCATAAAGTGACAACTTCACAGAGACATAACAGGTAACAGCTGAATTTTCCCCCCTCGAAAATAGATTACTGTATTGGCCTCAAAAAAGCCATATCGGTCGGGCTCTAATTCTGAGACATTTTAGTTTGGAACCTGCGATATTCGGGTCATTCACAGCAGAAATACACACACACACACACACACACACACACACACACACACACACACACACACACACACAACACACACACACACACACACTCACTCACTCACTCACTCCCCACCACCCCCAGTGGAAGACCTAAGGAGCCGCCCCATGTACAAGTCTGCTTGGAACAATAATTTTTTTGTTTTTTTTTCTTTTTAAAAACCTTAAAAAGGTGTCTACTCCTTCTAGCTCATTAAACATTACAGAATCTATGAATATGCAAATTCTGTTCATTTCTTAAAAACTTTGTGCTCAAGATGTCTCCTAACTAACTAACCGTAGGAACAAGAAGAGGGGAGGAGGACTAACAGTCTAAGCTCAACTTGTGGTGTTCCTGTTATGACGAGTAAAAATATCTGCTGTGAGGAAGAATTAAATCTGCATAAATGTTTTGTAACCAGGGTGGGAAAATAACTTTTAATAGTAAATCATTATTTTCTGTCTATATATAAGCCACATTTATATTTTACCAGCATTTGGCTGGTGCTTATTTCCCACCTTGATGGTGACCCACGATACAAATGTTAGCTTATGGGGGAAAAAAAAAAACACCAGTTGGATTGAAGGCATGCTTCTAAATGAGGTCTAGAGAGTCATTAAACCAAAGCCTCAACATAGGAATACTCATACAGTGTCATTAAATAACCCTTTAACAATTTCATTCATTAGAAACTGAAGGCAAGGCAAAGCATAGCTAAGGACAGCCATTCTGGGATGCTTGACACACTTAATGCAGCATTGCTTGCTAACAAGTGCTCTTGTTGTCCAAGTGGCTCTTGAAGAACTCCTGGACTCTGTCCCACAGGTCCAGCTGAGCCTCAGAGTGGGCTTTTGGCTCTCCACCAAACACCACGTTACTCCCCACTGCTCCATGGAACCCAGACGGACAATGAGGCATGTGAGGGACTTCCAAAAAGTGTCCGGCTTTAGGGTATGTCACCACCTTAAATGACTCTTTGCCGTGTTTTCTCAGTGTTGCAGCAGCCTGCTCGGCAAAAAGAGCACTGTTCCAGTTGTGGTCATCTTCAGAAACAGCAAACAGGAACTGGCAGCTAGCACGTTCAATTGGAAACAATGACGCCCTGTTCTCATCCAAGGAAGGGTCTGGTAAGGCATCGCGTATATCGATAAGCCCAGAGTCTGTGATTTTAACATTTGTTATGACAGGGGAAAGTGGAGGTAGAACAATGTCTTTGTAGTGTAAGGGAATCACAGTATTTCCAATGCAGCCGTTAATACAGACGGTCGCTGAGATCCCAGAGAGGAAAGACGACATCGACAAAGCCAAACCGCCACTGTGAGAGATTGATATGATGCCAATCCCAGGACCTTTAACCTGCACAGAGAGGTATTGAATAAACGATCATGTTTAGAACAGCTGATATGTCCTTAGATGTGATGTAATATACAGTTAATAAATAAATAAATACATAACAACCATGCCTCGATTCAACTTGAAAGCAGAGCTTGAACAAACTAGGGTTGCAACTAACAATTATTTTCATTACTTTTTTATCTTACGATTACTTTCTTAATTGATCAATTACTTGTTTCACTTATAAAAATGTCAGAAAATTGGGTAACCCTAACCCTAATGTCTTCCTTTGCTTGACAAACAGTCCCAAAACCAAATATATATTTGTTTATTATTGCATGTGATGAATGAAAACAGCAAATTCTCATGATAAAAAGCTGGAATTTGACAATTCAGATTAATTATCCGTCCATTGACTAATAGATGAATTAAGTGATTGTTTCCACTCTGTAATGATCTTAATTATGCATAGTTTGCAAAGAAGGACCTTCAAAAATTCTGTCACAGCCATGTCGAGTAGCCAGTAGATGGCAACGTTGACATAGTACTGTAAATACAAATATGGGCCTATATCTCTGATACAGTCCCACTTTATACAGAATGCATAACGTACATGAAGTCAAACAATATGCACAATTAGTACAAAGGCAAAGTAAACATAATACATGGAGATAAAAAGGAGATTCCCATAAATAAGATTATCTTTACCGTTTTAATGTTCAGTACTAACCTCCGGATGTCTCCTCAGATATGTAACAGCCTCTTCAAAGTACTCCAAATCCAACATTTTAGGTCTTTTTGGTAAATCCTGATAGCCTAAGTAGGCCAGTGCCAGAACAACATAACCTTTATTTGCCAGGAGGCTGGCTCTGGGCTCAGTAAGACGTCCACCAAATGTGTACAGATCCACTATTCCTGGGAATGGACCCTTTCCTGGAAAGAACATGGAAATGAAAAAGGGAGAGGAAAGTTGAGAAGAATAGTGCCATCTCTCCAATTTCTATGTATCTTCCTAAGTGCTCCTCAACTGACTCTCAAAACACAACTAACCTGGAGGTATGAAGAGGACACCTCGTATTCTTCCCTCTTGCACAGGTATTCTCCTCATCCCCTCTGTCATGTATATTCTCTCGTTAGTTTCAGAGGCTAAGACTTCACCAGTCTCTCTGCACAGTGCTTCCATCTCCACCAGTATTGGGCTGAACACGTTCTTCTTCAGCAGTTTTCCGTGTGGAGTCTCTGGTGCCATGGACCAAAACAAACCCATGGGCTCCACTCCGGTGTAACTTCCTCCCAGAGAGGGTGCTCGGCAGACATCCACCTGGCCAGTTTCATCTGCTTTGTACAGGGCAGAAGCCTTGAAAATCATCCCTCTGTCGTCGACTAGTTTGGACCTCAGTTCAACTGGTTTGTGAGGAGCAAGTCCTTCTACTTTTACCTGCACCAGTTTATCGAAGAGACAACGAACACTGGGGAGAATTTTCAGGCGGATCTGTGAGTAAGCCATTTCAACTCACTGTAATGGAGAGTTGTATCCTTTACTCTGGCCTTTATTTTAGTACAGCAATGTCACTGCATCTGTTAAGGAAATCAAAAGTTAAATTGTCATAGCTCTCACAAAAAAATGAGTGCATAAAAAATAATCTTCATCTCTGTATAACATCACAGAACAGTATCAAAACAGTGCTACTGAGACTGTTGATTTTCACCAATATCCAATAATCTTCTTCTAATTGGAATATTTGATGCAGCACAATGAAATTCTGTGTACATTATTTATTGATTTATTCATACCAAAGGTTCTTAAACTTTTTTTATTTTGAAGTTTACAGAAACTTCAGTAGATCTCACATGCTTTCTTATACATATTTCTCTGTAAGGAGTCTCCTTGAACCTGGGCACAAAAATAGTCAACCCACTAACATGATATCTTCTTCACTGAATAGACAAAGGCACTGAAAGGGCCCTGCACAGACATTTAGCGGCACATAATATATGTACATGGGCACCATGTTAAGGCTAAGCTGTTTCTGTAGCTAAATTGCAGTGAGGGTCTTCAGTTGATGAAGGAGAGTGCATTCAGGGACACTGTGATGTCTAACTGGGGGAAAGTTCAAGTAAAACAGCTCACTATCCATTACTATGGATAAATAAAACTAAAATAATAAAATATGAAAGCTAACTTCACACTGTGGTTGAATTCCTCCTGTTAGTAAAGTTAACTAGCTCGTTAGCAAGAAAGTAACCTTGCTGATTTGACTTTGATTGTAGTTTTAGTTTACCGGCTTTGTTTTGAACAAACTGACTATCAACAGGTACATTTGGGTCAGAAAGCTTTATATTATCTCACAACCGGCCAGAACAACTGAAAACCATACCTGTGCTACCACGAAGCACTGAGGTTCACAATGCAAAGCGACACAACCGTGAAAGCAGAAGTTGCAGCAATGAATAGGAAGCGACTGGGCGAAACCACTTTGCCAAAGAAGGGGGGAGCCGGTTTTGAATGGGCTGCCTTTGGTGTTTGTTTGTTTCTTTGGTGTTCCGCTTTGTGTACTCATTGTATGTGAACGTATTCATTCAAAGTATATATATTAAAACTGAAATAGAAAGAGAAATGTATGATATTTCGACATGGAAAGCAGTAGGTTATTCCCCCTGTGGAATGAAACGGTCCATATGTTTACCAGTTGACCCTGGGCTCCAGCGACTGTTTAAGTTAAATTAGCCCATACACTGTTAGTGAGTTAGCCACCTTCAATTATGAGATACATTATTTTTAATAATTTGTCAACAAATAGAACCGATTCAGGAACCTAAACATGTAGCCCATGTAGGAAAGTGAAGCAGCCATTAGATGTCAGCATTGGCACAGGATAGTAACACTTGGGAAGGCTTGAAAGGTTAAGACGACCTTCCTGTATAAGATTAACCTTTAATTTTGATCTCCTAACACAACATAGTATGCTCTTTTAAGTATGCCCTAGAGTTATCGTGAACACAGTGAGACAAGAAGAGTACTAACTCATCCACACAACATGTTTCCACTAATATACATTATCTGATTAGATGTTGGACCACCTTTGTTGTATATGTTTTCATATTAATGAGCAAAATAGAAGCATACTGAGCTAATCTGCTTCTTGTTTATCTCCAGAGTAGACCTGTGAGTGTCCTCTCAGAGGTTCTTTACAGGGGTCAATGACATGTCGAGGTGTTTAGCAGGAGTTTGATCCTCTTTTCCCAGTTCTAGGGCTTCAGAACCTCTGGGATCATGAAGATTTTGTATAAAGGAGAGGAATCTTTCTTATAAAAAAGGGTGGAAATTAAGACAGGAGTGGAATCTAAGTAGAGACCAGGGAGGGAGCCAAATTTAACCGGAATTGGAGAAAGCGAAAGTAAAAGTGGATTTAATAACAAGCTATGTAGAATCAACAAACTAAACATCTGACAACAGTGTTTGTGCTAATGAAATGAAATGTTATCGTTTTAACAAACAACTGATCTGTTTTTGGTCATTGAGGCCTTGTGGCATCTTTCAACCCCAGTGTACACTTTTACATTTAGGAGCACATTTTCAGTCATCGCTGGGGTATGGATTTCCTTCCTGCTATAACCGTTGAAACAACCATGAAAGGATGGCATATGACCGGAGTTGACCTTTACACCATTTACTAAGTGCAATAACATCATAATTAATTCAGAGACAGACTATTTAGACTTACATTGGAAGGACAATACAAGAAACTTTCTGTAAAAGTAGAAGGAAAACTTAGATAAAGCTATAAAATACAGATGGAATTATCGAGAATAACTTCACAAAACACTACGAGACAAAAATAATACACCATAAAAAAGATTGTCTCTCCTTCCTTAATATGAATGTAGTTTCTTAAAGGCAGTGTGAGCTCCATACAGTGGAATGAAAATGTTTGTCTCGGTCCTCTTATTACTGTATATGTGAAGTGAAAATGACTAAGAGGATAAAGGACGGATTACTGTGTGATGAAATTATCCTCACATTGAAGCCAGTTTATATCTTCCTCGTCAACATTCCTCTATATTCAGTTTTTCAATTTAATTGGCTTTATTGGTAGGAAGTTTTAAATCAATCATATTTCCAAAACAAAAAGTCACTTATAGTATATAAATACTACTAATACAATACAATGAAATCTTACATATTTACTATAATAAACCTTATTTAGATACCATAGCTGCCCTATATATTTTATGGGTCCAGAAAATCAATATGAAAATCAATATTGAAAATAAATGGGTATTAATTTTCTGTAGAACAACTACCCTATATGTGTAGATGCCATTATTAAGTCAATGTTTTCTGATCTCTAGCTTTAAGACAGAGATGTTTGCAAATAGGAGCGCTCCAGGACAAGGGATTTCAAATATTTGATGGCCTCTTTTGATGTTTCTTTGCAGTGACGCATTATGTTTTGCAAGCTCACAGTGAACTGCAGTTAAGTGTGACGAGAGATCTCACTTTCTTTCCCCTCTGAGTGAATTAAAGTAGCATTTCCACCCACGCATTCTCTTCTACTTTCTATCTGCAAGCACTTTGTGTAAATACAGTGCAAAACTGTATATTATATAATAAAATATACCCATAATGTATAAACACATTTAGATCATATTTATTTATCTATCACCTTTTCAGTTTACCAAGTCATCTAAGTGTATATTTTATGCATACGCAGACTGTGATGATGTGTTCTCTCCAGTGGCAACAACTACAAAGAACAACCATATCAGAAGGTCTGAAAAACATCCTGGCAGAGGCAAAAACCAAGACTTTATGTGAACTGTCAGAGATGAAACAGATATTGCAATCACAGTAAGAACCTTTTATATGGCTTATGTGCTGGCAGATAAGTATTTTAGTTTGGTTTGGTTGACTGACAACATGGATTGAATATATCAAATTTTGTCCAGAATATAATAGCCTTGAATTTATTTCCATCTTTGTCCGTAGACTAGAGAAATAGAACATTCAAATCACACGAACAAACAAGTCTGTTTTTCTTTTTCTTTTTTGCCAGGAAGCAGACAAAACGCATCATTAAAGATAACAGATGTTTGACAGAGCTCAGGATGCAAAGGTCAATACATCAAAGGGTAAAACACAAAAACATATTAAGATATCTACAGTTGATTATGGGCTATTATTTTGTATTTAGCATTTTAATTTTTGTGGTTAAACAGGTTAATAGGCCTGAGCAGATTCATTTTTGCTAACCTTAGATATTAGATGATGGTTGAGTATAGAGACAAAGGAATTTAGATAGCTATGTTTTTGTGATATAAACTACATTCATTCACATACATTCATACTTCAAACAGTCACCTTACAAGAGATAATTGGATAAATATAGTAACACTAAGAAAAGTAATTAACATTATTTTGTTGCAATTTATGATTATCTGCAATGGTTTTGTTTATGGAAACGGTTGTCTGTCGAGGTCTAATGAGGTCGACACATTTTTGGATTATTGCATCTTGGCATTTCAGCCATTCAGCAGCCAAAATATGCATTTAACCACACAACATAACTATACGTGTCTGGAAAATCCCCTATAATGGCATGTACACCATATCCCATGCATTTTTTTTATTTTTTTTGGCATCTAATTAAGAAATTTACAACATTTATTCCTCTGAATTTGGGTGTATTTTTCTCTCTTTTGTCGATTCTTTTGTCTCTCTCCCACCTCGTCTCTCTACCGAAATCTGTGCTTTTATTTTGAAGCCGAGCTTTAGCGGTTGGCTTGACAGATTAGGATCCTCCCTTTTAACGAGGTAGCCATGGAGACCGCGCGAGAGCGAGGCAGCTGGTAGAGTTCTCACAGCGAGTGTTTCCGCACACCTACCCGGAATAAAGAGCTGGCGAGCCGAAGACAGGGAACAACAGAGCGGCGCTGACGGGAACTAGACGACGAAAACATTGTATTTTTTTATGTTATTTTTTGCCACATTCTGGTTTGGGTGTATCCGTTTTTTTACGACCGTTAATGCCTCGATTGTGAAGCACTGAGAGGAGGGCTCGCTGCTGTTAACCTTTACATTGGTGAGTGTGTGTGTGTTTTTTTTTTTCGCAAGCTAAGCAGCACAGATAGGCCACTACGAGATCTCTTTGCTCTTACCTTTCGCTTCTCGTCAGCCTGTATTTATTGATTACGTGTTATTAAAAACACGAAACAAGTTGCCCACACTAGGGGCGACGTTAAATAATTTGTCAATGAGAAGAATGAGTTGTCAGTTTTGTGTTTTGTCAACTAACCTTTTAACGAAGTGTGTTGTTAATTAAGCTAACCGCGACCCGTGGCAAACGGTTGATTTCTCGCAAGGTAACTAAGCTAACTGGCTAGTTACATATTTATGACGTATTTAGTTGGTTATAAGTCTTCATCAGCTGATTGACAAAGTGATTAGCGAGACACATAAAAGCAGGAAACCGGCTCGAGTAGCTAGTTCACAGTTAACAGCTGTAGCCTTACTGTATCGTTGCATTTTGGTCTTGTGAACATTAATAAGTAACAACGTAGCAGTGTCACGGTTTAACAAAAAAAAAAAAAAAAAAAAAAGAAACCCGTTGTCGCATGTTATCTAATTTATTCATGGTGTATTACTTGTCAGACTGCAATCAAACATCTAACAAATGTATGGGTAGCGTTAGCGTGTTAACGTACTTTGTGAGAATGAGGTTGCTTTGGTTTAGTCTTTGTTTTTGTCTGTGTGTGTGTGTGTGTGTGTGTGTGTGTGTGTGTGTAGTCCTGGCAGCCCACCACACTCTTTGTTTAAATAGCTCGCAGTACAGTTGCACGTGTCGAAGCGTGTGACTCTGCGTTAGGGGCTGCTATAAAGGCAGCTGACCACGTTTGATACGGTTGCATTGGTGTGTTATTGAGTTTTGAGGGTCTCTCTGCTCAGATATTCCTAACACTGTAATTGTCTAACTCTCTCTCACGCCTCTCCTCCCCCTTCCCTCCCTCCCTCGCCACCGCTTATGTTCCAGTAAGAGTTTTGAGTCGTTTCCTGTTAGCTGGGTTGGGTAATATACGACATTTACAATAGCAAAGTTCATTGAAGTCCAACATGAGTTGTTGCATATCATCATAATGGAGAACAAAGAGGTTTTCAAACACATTTGACAGTATTTTGAGAGACCACTGAAATCAGGGCTGACCAGTGTTTTGATCATATCATTGTTTACCACGTGTTGTTGTGAGAGTTTGGGTGAATGGATACATTTGTCATGTCAGATTTTGCCACAACATTGGCTTTTAGTTACTACCTTGATGTGTCAGGGGAAAGCCAGGGTATAGTGTTCTGGGTATTCCACCCATAAACAAGTTCTCAATAGATGTATGAGGCTCTATATCCGCAAAGTAAATGAATTCTGCCTCTTCACTGTCAGTGAACATTGCCCTGACAGTGGGCTACTTTGTCAACCAGGAGGGTGTTCACCGACCAAATCTAAAAACTGTCCAAACACTATGTTGTTTGCACTTAGTCATTGCTCCACTGGAGATTCAGCCCATAAGATCTTTGATTTTTGCTTTATGTGGCGACATTGTAACTTCAACGCTGATGTGCCTGTTTTCATTATTTCCTAATATTTTATGATGTTTTTATATTCTATCACACCTGGGAGTTAATGGTTCAGTATATCAGTGTTCAACAATACCCAGTGTTTTTGTAAACATTTAGAGGTAGAGTATATTGCTGGACTTATTTTTCTACTTTTTAAAATATTTTTATTCAAACCATAAGATGTTTTTCATTGCAGAACTGATTACAGTCAGTTTTTTGAAGTGTACCTCATTTTATCCCCATTGTTCGGATTGACATGTTTTGTTTTTACACACTGTGGCTTTCACAGAGGAACTATATACAATGTGCAGCTTTAATGGTTCTCAATCTAAAACCCATTGTGTAGCTGCAGTGAGATTTTTATAACTCCCAGTCCAGCATTCAGAGGCTTTTTCTGTTTGACAACATAGCTTAGAGAAAACATCTTGTGAGTTAAGATAAGAAAACTGTGTTTGGCTTCAATCCCATTCTCAGACTTCCCTACCTTTCACCACTATCAACATAACATACGACAGTGTTCCTCTCATTTTAGTGTGTTTCCACTTTTATTCTCTTGTTTCATCTACTTTCTTTCTTTCTCTTCTCCATCTTTCTGTCCCCTTACTTGCAGCAGTACAGAGGGATGCTCGGGCACTGTGGGGCTTAACACTACATAATACTTCATAACAAAGGGTCCTTTCTGTGCTGCCATGCAGAGCCCCATCTCTGGGCTCCCTCCGCGGGCCCAGGCGGGCTCTACCAGCAGCAGTAGCACTGGGGCCTATTGGGTGGAAATCTCCTCCCGGCTGTTTCTTTGGCACACTGAGTGCTCTCTGTTCCCGGACACATGCCTGTGCTGCTGCTCTCCCTGGCTCCCTTTGCATTCCAGGAGCCCCGAGCAGCTGAAAAACTGCAGTAGCAGCCTGCTGGCTGGCTGGTTGTCTCACTGGTGTCTGAAGTGGAGAGTTGCATAGTTTTTTCCCCAAATGGAAGACTAAACAGACAGTATTTCTTAAAGGTCCAGTGTGTAACATTTAGGAGGGTCTATTTGCTCTATTGGCAGAAATGGAATATAATATGCGTCACTGTGTTTTTGTTGGTGTGTAATCACCTGAATATAAGAATCTTGATAATTTTGTCACCTTATTATGAGCCGTGGGTCGCCGTCCATGGAGTCTGCCATGTTGAACCACCATTTTTCTACAGTGGCCCAGAAGGGACAAATCAAACACTGGCTCTAGACAGGGGCGTTTGCATTTTTCATGTGGTTCACAGCTATCATAGTTTCTCATTTGCGCCTGGTTGGGGAGTGTGATGCGAGGGAGTTGCAATCTGCAACTACACTGCTGACTGACACCACTAAATCCTACAAACTGGACCTATAATGCAATGAGCTGAAACATTACCTTAAAATGTACAAAATAAGACTAGTCTCAGGCATAACAAAGATGCGTTGTCGTTCATAAATTTGTAAATTACAACAGTACATCTTTATTGTGATCTGGCCTGGCATGATGTTTTGATTTAAACAAAGTTTTTTAACGTGAACAACTTGGCATTACACTGAAGTGAACACGTCCTCCAAGCAGACTCCAGAAAATAATATTGACCAAACATTGGTTGTTGTGTTTCCAGCTGTCGCATCCGTTTGGGTGTATATTTGAGCCTTTAAGGATGCAGTTTTCCACTGTAACTGTTGATCTGACAGTGAGCTGCATACTTGGACATCATACGTACTCCTCAATCTAAAAATAGTATTAAACTACTAGAACTGGCAACACCAGTTTCATTAGATGACTGGTCTCGCTGTTTCATTATTGGTGATCATATTGATTAAGGTGAGAAATTAAGCACCACGCCACACAATGTTGACATAAAATCGTCATGACATTTTTATAAAGCCATGTCGCTTTTTAAAAACTAACACTCTTTTTAATTATTGAAAGTAGTCCCAGCCACACAGAGCTTGATTTAGTATGTAAGGAAGTTGCCTTGTTCTTTTGTTTGAAGCAAGGTAATGTTTGTCGATCTTGCAACCGTGTGGTTGAGCTGATGTGTTTCGTGTCGTTTCGTGTTTTAAAAAAAAATCTAATCTGTTAAGTATGTCAGTTTAAATGACTTCAGCTTTCTGTTTTTGTATTCCTTTTTAGTTTCTTTCCGCTTCTCTGTTGGTGCTTCACGTTTGACAATCAACTCCCAGTGACACTAATGTAACTGAGAGTAGTCATACTTCAATAATGACTTGAATGTCAGCTATTTAAAATGACTTTGAAATGAAACTGATAGCTATTTAAACATTCACTGTTTGACTGTACACACACCAATGTCATTACAGGCCATAAACTGTGATTTGGTTATGCTAATGTTACCTGGCTACATGCAGCTACCAGCAGGAAGTGTTTGTTTATGTTGTTTGGTACAACATTTTGTTCCAGGAAACTAAATCTCTTGATGTTTAAAATAGCAGCACAGTCTTTAATGTGATGTGTCAAGTTACATCTTTGGTGGTGTCTGACAGGAAATTCACACAAGTCACAAGTTAGAAAGTTGACATCCAAACTTGTAGTATTTCTGTTCTTTTGCTGTCAAACTGCCGGCTGTGTTGGTAATCAGTTAAATGCATGAACACGAAGTCGGTACATTAAAAGATCTGCAAAAAAAATATTTAAGGCTCAGAGCTATCTCGTTCTAGCTAATTGGAATGCTGTATTTTGTGGGATGCCTTAGCACAGCGTTAATGACTTTCTCCTTTCTCCTTTCTCAGACGCTCTTGTGTGAAAGCAATTAAGCTAATTCTGCTTAAGTTTTCACTTTGCAAACATACTGGCCGGTCAATACTCTGTCCTCAGCTCTCTCAGGAGGTCAGTCCTGCATTATAAATGCCATCCCAAGTGGTTATTTACATCCCAACAAGTGCCTTCGAACAAAACAAGCGTTGTATGTTTGTCCTGTCTTTGACTTTTATTTGTCATTGATATTTCTAAGACGTTCATCTGGCAAGAATATCATCTGAGTTAACTTAGGACTTCTCTGTAACCCAGGCCTTAGCTGCATTGTTTTGATCCCAACATGGACAAATGAGAAAGCGTCTATGGATCAAATGGCTGGCACAGATCCCCTGCATGTGTTTTTGACTGTCTGCCCTTTGGCTCAATGCAGTACCCAAACTGTCCTGCCAAAAATGACTTACGTCACTCTCTCCCACTGGCCTGCGCCGCATGTAGGTATGCCTCTCCATCCTATTCTTGTGGACATCAGAAAGGTGGCAGGCCGTACGGGGCCCTGCTCTTTGCATGTGTTGGAAAATTTCTGCCAATTTAATGATCTTGATCTTTTGGTAAAAATTTAGTTTAGTGCAGGTACGGCATTTTGAGACCCTGCCCTCTGTTTCTATCACAGTTATAGTTATATGCATCCTCGGGACAGACGGTGCTGTAGAAAAACGAGTATTGTCACGTTTTCTAAACTCAAGGCTGCTTTTTTATTCGTCATATGGGTTTATGAAGTGAATGTCTTTGAGTTTGTGACTTTAACAAACAATCGGCTATCAGAGTAGTAGCAGATTATTTTTCTTTTGATTGACTATTTGTTTAATTAGCTTATCTAGTCGAGTATATACACTGTTTCCCAGTCATATATTGGATAACATATATGAGGGTAACTTCCCTCATCACAGTAGTTCCAGGTCTTCTGTGGCAGTGCCAGTGGCCACGCAGCAGATCTGCAATCAAATTCGCAACTCTCTAAGTGCAGCCATGCCATTACTGTAGCCATTAGCTCAGCAGCCTTGTGTAACTGTAATGGGGCCCTCTGCCCTCTCTTGAGGATATGCTGCCTGCCAGCGAGCTAGTTCCCGACAGAACACAACTACTGCTACTTCATCCCAATCTCTCTGCAGCGACATAACCAGAGCAATGTGCACCTGCATCTCATTTACATAATGACAGTGTATGTCTCGTATCCCCGCAATCAGCCAACAAATGCTTTTTGGAAGTTAGTTAAGTTGGTATCACGGAGAGAGATTTGTGAAGAGAGGATGTGGGTGTTATTGTCTGCGTGCATACGGATGTGTTTTTCCTCCCATGCCGTTTTTAAAGGTGTCTCACAGTAACTCCTTATCTCCTCCCTACTTTTCTCTGCTGCTGTCCAGCTGTTCTGGGAACACAGAGGTTTAGAAATTAGAGATTTTTTTGCAGACACTTCAGATACCATTTATTGTAGATATAGATATTATCATCACGATCTTGTTGCTGCTGTTTATATTCCCCCAGATGCAAATAAAAAAAACACACTGCAGAATTATTTCCTCTGTGTGTGTATATGTGTTATTATCATGTATTAAATATTATTTTATGTAATTCTACTATACTTTTAATTGTTTTCTTCTGTGTTTAGCATGAAGGAACTGCAAAATTTAATTGTACAACCTTGTGTTGTATAAAGGCCAGGACACACCAACCCGACGGCCGACCGTCGGCAGAAAAGCAGTCGGACTGATCAGTCGGCTCCCGTCTCCCCGAGTTGGTCAAAAAAGTGCCTCCGAACACACCAAACCGACGCTGACTGGAGCGTACGTTCTGCGCGTGCGCAAGGTGTAATACGTCCCCATAACAGCAGGGAGTGTTGATAGTAGTCAAGAAGGATTGTTATTGTCATTACTTGCTGAACAGAAAATACGATGGCTAATAATAACAAGATAATGGCGTTGGCGTAGTAGGTTTACCATCGTCACTTCCGGTTTTCTCGTGCACTCACTGATTCGCTAGTCAAGGGCTAGCCCTCCACCAATCAGATTGGTCATTGAGGCCGACGGCCACTGGCCGTTTCTACATGTCGAAGCCAAAATGAACGCCGACGGCACGGGACACACTGAACCGACTCGAGTCACCGACCTCGCCCGACTGGCCGACGACGGCCGATAATCGGGTTGGTGTGTCCGGGCCTTAATGATACATTTCTCTGATCCTTGATAAGAACAAATGGAGCAACAACATATTTGCAGTCAGTAATAAGTGGTGCAAGGAAAAATAAAACGAAAGCTTGTCACGCTGATATGTTTTGCTGATAAAACATTTAACTATCTATCATCATCTTATACATATATACAGTCTGGTGGCAATATAAGCGACTAAAGAATACAGGAGATATTTTAGGAAGTAGCACCTGATGCAGTTTACATAATTTATCCATCAAACTCCATCGCTCATAACAATCTGCAGCATATGGCAGACTAGCATCACAGCTGAGCAGACCGTGGTATGGCATCTGTTTATTATTCAACTGTAAAGTACTGTGCCTTCTTTTATCATAACTCTTTCATAACTACATTTGAGGAATCACTGCTTCTAAACACCAGTGATCAGTCTGCGTCACAAACCTAATGAAATTTTACTCATTTTCTGATGAAGCTACAGTGAAATGTAGCTCCTTGAGCAAGCTCCTCTCCTGAACCAGGATCTTTGCAGAACGTGCAGTTGTAACCACGGTTTTTGTTTTGCGCTGACTCTCTCGCAAATTTTGAGCCTCTCTCGCCCTAATGCTGCTACCTCATCAGCAGCAGGGATCCGTTTCCCTGTTACATCATCTACAGCAGAGTGTAATGGCTGGTTTATTTAGTTAGCTCTTGTGGCAGAGACAAATGTGGGGATCGAGGATAGTTCAGAGGAAGTCTCCTGCTGCTTCTGCCACTGGTGGTTTTTAAAAAGGAGAGCTGGAAATTGTTGTCTGTCTTTCTGTCTCGGGGGGTGGGTTAAATAGCAGGATGCCATTTAAGGAACTAAAGCATGAGAAGTGGAAATACACACAGTCATTGATGCAATTGTTAGTATCAGAAAACCAACTGTTACTTGATGACGTGCAGAAAAGGCCTTTTCTCTGTCACTCTCTCTCTCTTACAGTCCTAATAGCTCTCTCACTCTATTCCCTCCTGTCTCTCTGTGTTGCTTCTGGTTACATAATCCTCGCTGAATGTTGATAGTAATCCGCGTCCTCCCTCTCCCTCCCCCTCTATCCCTTCCTCTCTATGTGGCCTGCACAGGTTAAGCCGTAGAGGACTCTCGCTGGTCGCCGGAGGAAAAGATGTGCGATGGAATGGTAGCGTTTCAGACGAGAGCCCTGTCCTCCTCTTCTTCCTCCTCCTCCTCCTCCTTCACCTCCTCCTCTCTAGCCCACAGGCTGGCTGCCTCCGCGCTTCTCCTCCTCTTCACCCTGCTCCCTCATGGTCACGCATCAGGTAAGACGCAGACACACAAACCCACTCATATTTTCTTTCTCTCCATCACTGCTCCCACATGATACACATCGACTGAACCGCCATCTTTGCCTACCTCTTGTGAATTGATTCTAGTTATTTTCCCCTTGTCTCGCAGGTCAGTTAGATTAAATTGGCTTCCTTTACCCTTGGCTCGGTCAGGTTGCTCTGTCTCAGAGCGGTAGCTGAGAGCTCAATCCCACACACTCTGTGAATCCATTCACTGCCCTAATGAGTCACAACAGTTTTCCGCCGCTATTGAGTGAAACAGAGAGATGATGTTGTCCCTGGTCACATTGCTGTCATAAGGTTTTAATCAGCCATGACATTTAGCGTCCTCCGAGAGCTTTTAGCGGGGCTAGCCTGCTTTGGTTATCAGCCCACAACAACCTTCAGATTAGGTTTTGCGCCTGAGATCTTTTATTATCTTATATTTTCTTATCTTTCAATGTGAAGCATGACGCTTTTTAAATTGAACTGTTGTGTTGTAGAGGCAAATTTGATTCACAGTTGTGCTTATGTCTTTCTTCAAAATGAATACAATGTTGATGGCATGTACTCACTGAACCCCTTCACTTGTGCCAGCTTTCCCTTCACTTTAGACATCAATGTTCCAGTCCCCCCCCCCCACCCCCAACAAACACATTACCCACACTACCCACACACACACACACACACACACACACACACACACACACACACACACACACACACACACACACACTCCCCTCACATAACCAGCTTGTGAAATGTGCCAGATGTCCTTGCCACAGCGAGGAGGCGGACTGTGTATGTGTGAATTAGTGAATGTGTGTGAGGGGTGGTTTAAGGCACTGGGATGTTTTTAAGCCATTAATTGATTTCCTTTCTTAAATGTCTTAAATAAATGAATGTGTATGAGTGTGAGAAACGGCAACAGAAGGAATCAAGAGAGATGGGCAGATGGGCAAGGGGAGGGTGCTGCTGATCCCAAGTGTATCGTCTGTCTCTCTCTCTGTCTCTCTCTCTGTCTGTCTTATGTAATACACATGATTCATGTAGAGCCCAGAGGGGCTGGTATCACGCTCACGTTCTGTGTCCAACACACACATACACTGCCTACCAATACCAAGGAAATGTGTCCTCAAATCCCCAGCCCACGTGTTTTGTGTACTGTATTTGTGTGTATCTGTGTGTGCGCCACTTGTCATTTGTGGATGTTTTTCAGATAACATTCAGTATAAGGTTGTAACCAAAAATTCTCTGAGTCAGTGTATCAGAAGCCAGACCCTATAACAAACATGTTCGTGACAGTTGGTGCATTATGTAGGGACAAATGTGCTCCCAGAATTGCTTTCCAGTACCCATGATGCACCTGCGAATTTAAGACTGCCAGTCAACTGATGGAAAAGGACAGATAGTTCTCTGGACTCCACCACAAAGGCTTTTGTCACCTGGCCTGTTAAAAGTGCGATTTATGAACTGTGTGGTCTGAATCTTTCTAGACCTACTATCTCAATAGTTGCTTGAATGGATCTGTGCTGACAACACACCCATAAATAAACATTATATTTGTTTTACATTTACATATACATCTTACAGTTTCTTTTGTTTTCATATTTCTACTGCTATTATTTCATGTTGTATTTAGCCTAGTTTTCAAACATGTAATGGAAAATTCTACATTGGGCTTCGAGTGAACTGACTGGTGAAGTGTTTTAGATGTTATCATATCATAATTACTATCTTATATTGTGCAAGATGGTATTTTTTGCTGACTCACAGTTCAAGAGTTTTTGCTTTTCAAAATGGTGTACAGCACTTGTTATTAGCATATGGATATAAACTAAAGTATATTGGTAACAGCAGTGCATGACTTATGCACAGATTTCGAGGCAGCCTGTATTGAAATAAACCTCTTAGCTGTATGTTAATGATGAATGAGTACATTAGTTTTTTTGTCATTTTTCAATTCAGGCGCTGTAGTGTGAACTTAAATATTTAATCAAACATCACAAGCAACTACTGAGGTTGAGGAGGGAAAGAAGACAACAGCCCTTTGATAACAGAAGTAACAGAAAAAAGCCAGAAAGTATTTTTTTTAACAAAACCTACTGCCCTTTTCTAATAGTTTTTCTGTTGAAATTTAATTCTTATTGATGAGAAATAGATTCACTTGCAGTGCAATAGAAAATGAGAGGACAGGGCCAAGAAAAGTTAATAGAACAGTACAAATGTATAGTAAGTAAAACCAAGAAGACATAACAGAAATGATCATACTAAAACAACCAATACATGAATTGCAGCATTTACAGCATGAAAGTATGAAATTAAACCTATAATTAGACACATTACCATAATGCGAGGCACTCATTTTGAAGCTTTAAAGTCATCATGTTATTAGTTCTGTTCACCGCCCTTCTTTTCTTTCCTGCTCACCATACATAATTCACATAGGTAATCCCTTGACATGTTCCAGGGATGGAGATTGCTCTGGAAATTTTCATGAATATGAAATTTCATCACTGCTGACAGGCTTATTCCAGACTCATACAGTGTGCAGTGTGCGGTATGAATAGAAATGGATACTAAAAAATATACTGTACAGCATTTGCATACTAGAACCTAAACTCTAAACACCAGCCAGCAGAGCAGAGCAGCATCAAACCTCTATTTTTGGTCTGTGGAGGTTTATAGTATTTTTGTGGATATTACTCTTTCAAGAAATTTGGCCTTTAAGTGATGGGAAATAAGATGCAGAGACTGGGTGGATGATAGACTGTAAAGGTTGGGGTACTTTTTGCTCCCACTTGTGCTTCCTTTAACAAAGAAAGGAAAAGCTTTAAGCTTCCGCACTGGTTACTCCATGTTCTCTGTAGAAAGGTCAGTACAACAATTTCTTGTATCTTTTAACACGCTCTGTTAGGAAGTATTCACAAAGCCTTTTGGGGACGTGGTATTTTTAGAGCTAATCACAGTCCAATGCATGTCTTTTTTATCTGTCGTTCAGCTGTTGAGTGTAAACAAGATTACCCGCAGGGTATCAGCTGAGCTAATGTAAATGTCTGTTTGTGATTACTGTGTATGATTACATTTGTGTTTATGATTCAGGTCATTCTTCCAAAAGTAGCAACATGCTAAACAAAACATCCAATCTTAGGAGATCAGTAAACAAACACACAACAAAGCGGCACCTATCAGAAAATGCACGCACGTCCAATCTGACGTCCCGCTGGTGTTGGCTGCATAGCGCTCAGTTCCTAATATGGTGTCAGTTCCTTACAGTGAGCCTTTGTGGTTAGTTTCAGAGGAAGTGGACCTAGACAGTGAGTCAGAACTGAGAAAGTAAAGATGGGAACTCTGAGCACCAAAGGGTCTATTCATATATGATCACATGCCGTGTTTTCTACTATAACAGTGTTACATGCCCAGAGGCAAAAAGACTCTGACCATCCTTGCGGGTCCACTTAAATAGATAAACGACCCTCTTTTCAAACCCATTGTCTTTTGAAGTTGAGTTAAAGCTGTACAGGAAAGTGCCAGCGAGGACCAGAAGTCTCCCACAAACAAGCATGCTGTGTGCTCTGTGTGGTGGTGACGTTTATGTATGTTCATGTGTGAGAACAGGAAATGGCTTTCTCCGGGCCTGGAAGAAGATTGGAGTTGTAGGTAAAGAAAAGAGCAAGGTGAAAGGGGAGTGGGGCAAGAGAAGGAGCAGAGAGCCGCCTTTCTTTTTCCTCTGAGATTTGTGTTTGTTTTTTGACAATAGATTGTCCATTCTTGGCTTAAGTTGAATACACTTTTCTCCACCTGATGAAGGCCTATTGCACAGACAGATCCGTTTTGTTTTGGTAGGTCTTGCATCAGTGGGTGGGACCTACCCGAGGAGGATATGTGGAGGATTTCTCGAAAGTCAAGTTGCTCAAGGAAAAAGACTTGACAACTCCCTTTTTCTCTTTAATAACAGAGTAGACTCTAGTGGCTAGCATAGCGTCATTGCTCTGACCACAGAGGAAAATATCTGAATGAGCCATGCCCTACTTTTGGTGTCTTCAAACAGCTGTAGTCTTTGAAACTTGTTGCTTTCTTTATCCAAACAAAATTGTGTGTGTGTGTGTGTGTGTGTGTGTGTGTGTGTGTGTGTGTGTGTGTGTGTGTGTGTGTGTGTGTGTGTGTGTGTGTGTGTGTGTGTGCAAAAAGTCAGTCTGCACACGGTTGGTTTCCCCTTGCAAAGTTTGCTAGATTGGCTGGGTTTACAAACAGTGTAGCCGGAGGGGAGGGGGAAACAATGGGTCCTGTGCAATTAACTGTTCAGAATAGTCCCCTGAAGTCCTGTTAGCAAAGGCGGTTTGCAGGCAGGCAGAAGTAAAGCAATACGTTGGCTACTGGCTCCTTTCTGAAATGTGAGAACAAAGAGGGCTTTTAGGGGGGTGTTGGAAGCCACAGACCAAACCACAGCAAGCTGCTGCTCCACTAGATCACCAGTCTGCAATTAGGACTGCTAACTCACTGTGTGTGTGTGTGACTGTGTATATTGAGCACAGTACAGCCCCTTTTCTATGATCTCTCTCTCTCTCTCTCTCTCTCTCTCTCTCTCTCTCTCTCTCTCTCTCTCTCTCTCTCTCTCTCTCTCTCTCTCTCTCTCTCTCTCTCTCTCTCTCTCTCTCTCTCTCTTTAAGGCTCCAGCCATTAGCCAGGTGAGACCAGAGCCCATTAGAGGTAGTGTGGTTGAATCCATCAGCCTTTCTCTTTCATTACCTGTGTGTTTATCACTTGAGCCATCACTCTCTGCTCTCACCCTGTGTCATTTAACAGCTCTCCCACCCAATCAAGCCCCGAAACTTTAAACGCCTCACCAGATAAAAAAAAAATACTCCATGGAAACAGATACTGCAGTGCGGACAGGCGACTCAAGACCATTTCATTCACTTTAAACCATTGACCAGACAGTTCCGTTACTTGGTGAAGATCCCAGATGGCCAGGATTATGGTTAGTTGCATAG